TAAAGGGAAAAATATTTAAAAATACCTAGAAGTACTTTATATGTTCTAACTCCTTAATGTTTTTTCATTATTCATAAAGAAGTAATTCAGATTTAGTTTTGGTAAGCTCATAGCTGGTGCAGATATTTCATTTTCTTCCTTAAAAGAAATCTGAAGTTCCAAAGTTTTTGGAAATGTATCTTTTTGTGAGCATGCCCCGGGAGAGCGCACAACCTGTGCTGCGGCCGGGGATGCCCCAGGGTGCCGTGTCCTGGGAGAGCTCCACAGGTGAGGAGGAGAACAGGGATTCTGCAGCAAAGCGGAACAAGCCTGCCCTTGCTTTGGCTGCTTCTGTAGCTCCTGCTGCAACCAGTGCCACTGAGTTTCTGCATTTCTTTCCTAAGGGTATAAAAAGATAGGCTGCCAGATGTAAGTCCTAATACCAGTCCTACCTAAACCTGCGAATGCCTCCTATCCTTTCGTATTCAGTATAAAGCAGTGGTAGCAATGTAGTAAGAATTTTATCAGCAGTGGCCAGTTCGGAGCACATGCGTGGAATTTGTTACTGTTCAGACCGTTTATGGGTCTTCATTTCAAGAAGGCTGAGTTAAGAGCGGCATGTGTCTACCTTGCAGTTCTTGTGGGACATGGAAGCTTTCTTAGCATCTGAAGTGCTGTCAAAATCTTGGTATTTTGGGATGTACAGAAAAAGATTTCTGTAGTTGACTAGAAACATTATTCCTTCTTGTTGATACTAACAACAGAAATCTGTTTTGCTTATTAATGCAAACAGTCTTATAATACCTCTCTAGCAACTTTTGCTTCTGCCGTAACAGGCAACAGGTGAAAACACCAAGCATTAAATGTGTCATGGAGCTCTCATTTAGAGGTCTCATCACCTGGATATGAGAAATCGGGGGGTTTTGTTGTTGATTTTGGTTTTGGGATGGTTTTCGTTTTTCATACCTGATCCAGGCAAAATTTCTCTGAAACTAGAGAAATTTCCTTGTGGAAGGACCAGAACTTGGATCTTCTTTTTTATTAAATGAAATGGGAGGGTTTTTTCAGGGATTGCCTGTTTTTTATGGCAAGGTAAGGTTCCCTGCTATCACTCATGGTCTTGGAATGCTTTATAAAACTTAATATCTACCTGTGGGCAGCTCTTGCCAGTGACTGTCAGCACCAATAAAAGGCGTAAACCTTATGTAAAACCTTGTGCTGGCCTCTCTGTAGCACAAGTCCTGCCTTAATTTTCATAGCTCGTGTTGTAGTTTGTTCCTGTGCAATCATATTGCACTTTAATGAAATAGTGTAGTTATTAATACTAATTTGCTTAATTCTGTGATGTGAAAGGACAAATGGTGCTGCTCTCTGAATAGGCTGTTAATGTCAGGAAAGAATGGGCTCCATCTCTCTTGGTCGTAATAAAGCCATGCTGTTCTGCGATAGTGAGCACCGTTCATATCTTCCTCTCCAGCATTTCTGCTGCTGCTAGTATGGGGCCAATTCTATTGTAATGCCAGAAGAGTCCAACAGCAGCAGCATTTCACTTCTACCAAAAGCCATGTTTTCTGAGACAGTTTCACATAGTGTTTCATAAAGAAACACTAAAAATATCACAGTAGTGAGCTGAGCGACACTCTGCAGAAATCTATACTCTAAGTTGAGGATTTGATTAGGAGGAAGTTGTGAAGTAAGCAATTAAAGAAGATTAAAGCTCTCACTATGTGGAGCACACCAAATTTGAATGCTGTTTTGCTTTGAGTAGCTGGAAAGCCCTGTACGCTCTCTTTGCTGCTGTGATGCATCCCTAACCTCAGCTCTACTGTGCCTGTTGTTTACAGTCAAAGTCCTGCAGGACATTGGTTTATTTTATTTTATTTTGTTTAAATGCATGTCTGTACTGACTCTGAACAAGGGGCCTCAATCCTGTTGAGGCCTTTGGCGCATGCTGGAATGAAAACAACGCATAATTGCAGATGGTTTCTTGTTCAGATCCCTCTTTTATTTCATGCTGACCTACATTTGTACGCTGCTGACACACTAGAGCTACACCAGTGCTTACTGTAATGTGTTCCCCTTAAGCGTCTTCCATTCCCGTTTCAGTGTAAAAAGTACAGATTAGTCTAATGCTGGAGTTTTATGGCACTCCTTGAGTCTGCTTAAGAGAAGTCCCATCAGTGCCAGAGTGATGTGTGTGTAAAGTGAGCATCAGCGCTGCTTGCAAATCAAGTCTAATCAGCGACCTCTCAGCCAGGCTGAAACCAAGCCCAACCCAGTGGAAATTAAGGAGAAAAATATACTGTCCTGAAGTACTGCCATGTTATTAGCATTCATTTAGCAGAAAACCACATTGAAATATTATTTTAATTAATGTAACTTAGCAAACTTCCACAGTCTTAAAAGAGAAACTATGTAGCTGTCACTCCTTTGACAGTCTCTGGAAATATGTGATGCCACTCCAAGGTATTGCTTTGGGAAATGTGTCCAGTTCCTTAAATCCTTTCTGTCCTCTACATCCATAAATAATAATTCTTGTAATCTCTGTGCAGACATATAATTTCCTCTGAAACAAAGCAAAAATTTTTTTTTTCTGTTCTTAGCACATTCATAGCTTCTGACTAAAAGTAATTATTGTTTTGTCTGTATTGTTTGTATGTTTTGTCTGTATTGTTTTTATGAACAAAGTTAATGAATGTAGCTGGGTAAAATGGGAATTATTTTGCAAAGCATGTCAGGATTGGAATGAAAAAGATGTGTAGAAATTTCTCTGAAATCATCTAAGGATGAGCAAAGCATTCATTTTTGTTTGACCGCTTTTCTTTATAGTTGCATAATTTAATAACATGACAATGTGAAGAAAGCTGCATTGCTTCCAGAGGAAGCAGTGGGGCGTTCTGCTCCAGTACTCCTGAGTGAGAGCTCAGAGTGGCTGGGTCCCCCCCGCTCGAGCCGTGAGCAGGAGAGGGATTTCCCAGGTCTCCGATACCCTGGCTGGGACAGGCGCACATGGGCAGAGGTGGCCGCGTTACATTCAGATAGGGAGCAGTGCAATGACTGCAGGAACAAACCATATTCAGAATTTGTACATTTTAGTAATGAAGTTCTATGCACTGTATATTTTTCTACTTTGTCCAATACAGTTGTTGTATCGCAAGGCAAGAGACTTCTAGAAATCTTTTCAGGATTCCATTCAATAAGCAAATCTTTAACTATAATGAAAAGCTGCTTGGTCTAATAGTTTTAGCGTATAATTCCCTCTGTAAACTTTCCTTTCATCAGTGAGTTAGAACTACACTCTCAGAAATCTTTTAAATAATCTCTTTTAAATAATTTGTAGGGAGCTTCTAGCGGTCTTTTTTAAGGAAGATTTTCAATTGAGAATATGTGTACAGTACTCTATTTGACTAATTTTCTTAACCTTTACCATAATTTCTTTCATATGAAATTCTCAGTGATTCATGTCTCATTATAAACTTGGAATTACAAGGTCAAAGTGGAGTGTATTGACTGCTTGGGGCAGAGAGAGGAGCAGCACTGATCGGTTAGGGAGAGGAAGCCTTGTTCCTCTGGGAAATTGGTAAAAATAGGACGTGGGAAACAAAACTTAAGATCAACATGTAATTGCTGAAGCACCAGTTAATTTACAGGGAATTTACTGCATAAGAGATCTGACACAATGCTCTGAACTCTTTATAACAGTAGCAAACGGGAGTAATAAAGTGCTCAATATTCAGTTTTTCTGGTATTTGGCGTAGTTGGCATGTTATGGTAATATCCATCTCTTTAACTAAGCGATAATTAGTTTAGAAGAGATGCTCTAGAGGCTATTGCAAATGCATATTTTGCATTTTCATGAAACTTGTCTTGAATCCTTTTCTGGGGAGAGCAGAACTATTTTTTTCCCTAATCTAGCTCATATATTGGGAATGCCACACTGGTTTGTATGCCCTTTAATCATTGCTTAGTCCATTTGCATGATTTTAACCCTTTATTTTTTCTACTTGTAGTAATATTAGATTATAGTAAAATTTATTAAGCTCCAGTTTTAAAAATGTGTTTAAAATTCACAGAGTTTTCTGTTTGTTCCTGCAGGGTTATGTTCAGAAACTGTACCTGTAACTGATGTGTCACACAGTGAATCAATTGAAGAAAGCCCTTTCCGCCCCCCTTCCCATTCTTTTTCCACTGTCTTCGATGAGGACAAACCAATAGCCAGCAGCGGAGCTTACAACTTGGACTTCGATAACATTGAGTTGGTCGATTCTCTTCATGCCTTAGGACCAAGCTCTCCAGAATCGAAGAATCGTGATCCCAAAGCGAATGTGCGAAGAAAATCTACTGATTCAGTCCCAGTTTCCAAATCTACATTGTCTCGATCTCTTAGCTTGCAAGCAAGTGATTTTGATGGAGCATCTTATCTTGGCAATAGTGAGACATTAGCACCGGCAGCAGATGTGTATGGTACTGGTTCAAGTAGTGCTTCCAGTACTCTTAAGAGAACAAAGAAATCCAGGCCAGCTTCCTTAAAAAAGAAGCAGTCAGCAAAAAAATCTCTGGATGCTCCACCAGTGAAGGAAACACCACAAGAACCGTCTGACCTTGGTCAAGCAGCTTGTGCCCCAGGTGAGGATAAACCAGTATCTGAAGCAAAGGTTGACTCAGTAAAGCCCGAATGTACTGAACCTTCTAAAATCTCTGCTGAGAAACAGGAGGCCCCGTCTGTGCCTGAAGAATCCTACCCTTTGGATCCAGACAGTTTTGAAGGGATCAGTGCATTTAGCGTTGGAGGCAGCAAAGTACAAAACTCTCCCCCTGCCCATAAGAAAACACTACCTCTTACAACGGCACCAGAGGCTGTGGAGGTGACTCCGCCTGACACTGGAGGACAAGAAGACCCTCCGGTCAAAGGCATTGCGGTGAGGCTGGAGTTCGATTATTCTGAAGAAAAAGGGGTGAGTGAAGACCAGCAGGAGAGTACTCCTCCTCCCAAAAAACCGGGTAAAAAGCCTGGTGCTAAAATGCCACTACGGAGGCCAAAGACTAAAAAGTCAGTGGAAAAGCTTGACAATGCTCCAACCACACCAACCAAGTCACCCACTGATCCAAATGAAATCCCTATCACAAAAGGCTCTTACACTTTTGATATTGACAAGTGGGATGATCCCAATTTTAACCCGTTCTCATCTAGTACAAAAATGCAAGAATCGCCGAAACTGCCTCAGCAAACGTACAGTTTTGAGCCAGACATGTGTGAGGACTCTATTGACCCTTTCAAGTCTTCTTCTAAGATAGCCAGCTCCCCTTCTAAATCTCCAGCTTCCTTTGAGATACCAGCCAGTGCCAATGAAACAAATGGAACTGAAGGAGACAGCTTGAATAAACCTGCAAAAAAGAAGAAGACGCCACTAAAAACGTAAGTTAAAGGGCACAGATGTTTCTAGATTAGAAGCAGCACATTCCTACCCCTCAGCACAGTTACACCTGGTTTATATTTGAATAGAGAAAGGAAGATGCTGTGGAGTGTTGGTAGCCACACAACTGGACTCATGTCGGGGGTCTGGACATGCTTCCCCTCAACCTGTTTCCTCAATAGCTCGATGTTCGCAGACGGAAGGGGAGAACCAGGGCTAAATTGAGCCAGATTAGGCCACTGGACTGGCAATTGGATTTGTGAGGGTTTGGGGCTCAGTGTAGCTTTGAATCTGATTAAGTCCAAATTTTATCAGTTTTGTGCCAAATTTTCTGTGACCTCATCTTAGGAATTTGATACTGTTTAAGCTGATTGAAGTATTCACACCAGGAAAGACTATTTTGTGAATCATTGGGATTGAGAGTGGGAAGTCAAATAGTAAGGCAGCAACAAATCTCCTATTGCACGCAGCAGGAAGATGGTTTTATCTAGTGACTTACAGTATTTAAAAGAAAATAACCTGAAACAGTGCGATATTGAAATATATATTTTTAAATACAAGATGTGGAAAATTTCCTTTCTGTGAAAGAGCTTACAGTTCTGCAGAGGGGTTAAAATCTTATGGACTGCTATGGGTTAGGGAAATGTCCAGCTTTTAGACAGTTGACAAATTGCGGGATAAATTCTCTAGCTTGTTGTATTTCGATATTTGGTTAATGATTTCAATGGCTGGTTGTGTTGATTCCATGGTTAACTTGCTGGTGTGCGTGTTATCTTACCCCTTCAGACACGGTTATTTTGAATTGGTAATCAGTAAGTTTATACCCCATTTATTTGAAATTGATGTCCTGTGTGAATCTATAAGAAAGTATCTCACTGCATGTCCCTTTAGAATTTAAATGTTTCAGATAACTGACAAAAATGAGACTTAAAATTACAAAAGCCTGACAATTTGAAGACAACATGGTTCATGTAAAGCGGTACAAAAATGACCTCCTGTATGGAGGGAGGTGGAGATTGTTCCATTTTTTCTGAACAGCCTGCTACCCTCTAGACCTCCAATTCATGCCCCTTGCCAGCTTTGAGGAAGCTTGTGCCATTTTTTTCTTTTTAGGGGCACTTCTGAGTTAGGAAAATTATAGACCGCTATATAGTTGAGCTGAGTTTGACTTGTTCTGGTGTTGCTTCTTTTTGAAGTATGCCTGAAATTGTGGGGAAATTAAGCTGGGAGTTAAGATGCATGCTAAGCTGAGACATTTTCCAAGGCTACGGTCCAAACCAGCTTTGTCCAAAAAAGAAGACTTAAAAGTCTGACTGAGAGAGAGGAACAGTTTGAATCTTACTGAGGAAGTGCAGAGGGAGAGAGGGAAATTTTAATATCTCTAGATCCTTAAGTCTGATATTTGCAGCCAGCCAGAGTCTCCTTGTGTCTTCCAGTAGTTGCTGCCGAGTTGACAGACCCCCAGTACGTGTCAACCTATCTACTGTGAATATTAGAATCCATTCCAAAATTGTTAATTTAGGGGCAACATGAGTTTACAAAGAGTTTGCTAAACCACATCCATCCTTGAGAAAATCCATCACGGGAAGGCCCTGTCTTACAGTCACAAAGTCCACTGCTGCTCTTTAGCGTGGTGGAAGAAGTGAAACTATCCCAGAGCAGGGCTTACAGGCTCTTAGCTCAGGAGGTCTGCAGGAATTCCCAGCCCTTGCCTGGGACTGCTTTCACTGCTTTGCGTTAGGTGTCTGCTCGCTGCAGCCCCGTAACCTACTTTTGGTGGTAGTGTCTAACAAAGAAGAGAATCTGCATATTAATACATAGCGCAGCCTGGAGCCGTAATATTTTCTAGAAGAAAATCAGCCTAGGGCTTGTTCGGCATGCCAGGGGAAGCAGTGGCTCCATTTGTCTCTGCCTGTCTCTGGTCTCAATTCTCCACAAAAAGGGCCCTCGGCATGATTCCTCTGGGGATCCAGCGCAGGAGAGCCCCTGGCCAGGCAGGGAGATGGGTGTAGAACTTTCCTGGTGCTGCTGACTTGGTGGGACAGGAGAGAGAAGCCAGTGCAAGATGCTTCAGCTGCAAGGAGGGGGTTTGAATTAGGAAATGGTACAGTAATGTACCAGGACTTGTAAATCTGAAATAATGGATGATTTTGCAAAGCCAGGGGTTTTTATTGAGGGGCGCAGGAATACAACTGTATGGACCAGTTTGAAAAAGTGTTCCTTACACGGAAAGTTAGAGATTTCTAGATTAGACCTAAGGGTGGTGAAGAAGCCAGGCATGAGTTTAAGCCATTGCTAAGCCTGTACTGCTTTGAATCTGTGCCATATGCTAGGTCTTACCTATGTTAAATCAATAAAAATAATCAGTTTTTATTCTGGAAAGAAACCTGCAGCAGTCTAAGCGTTGACCTCCATATGAAGAGATGATATTTTCAGAAGAGATGTCAGCTCGACGCAAATTACTCTCTGGTTGTATGCCTAAGCACTGAGCTGTTTCGAGATGGATCATCTTGCTCAGATGACGCTGAACAAAGAGTGGTTGATGCCTCCCGAGTGCCTGCTTGTAGGGATGAATAAAAATAGGTGGCTCATATAGACATCGCTCTCGAAACTGTTAGATGATGATCGGAGGCTGTGTTTAGAGACGCAAGGTGCCAGCTTTCAAGAGCATTGCATGTGAGAAGAGCCGAGCAGGAGCTGCCAAGCTTATAAGTAGATGAAAACTTTTCTTAGCCTTAATTGTTTGGCAGGTTTGCTTCTGGTTTGGGGACAATCAATTTGTTCTGTCAGAACACAAAGTTAGGGTTCAGTGAGAGCCAAAATAGGTTAGATTTAAAGAACTGTCATTTTCTTTCTTGACTTAGTCAAACAATTTGAAACGGTCGAGTAGCTTTTTCTGTACTGTCCTAACAAATCAGCAGACATGAAAAATCCTTGTGTAACTGTGCTCTTTCCTTAAGCTTAGCTGCCATTCAAGAGCAGTTCTACATCCCATACAATAACAGATACTGTGTTTTGAAAAGAAAGCAGGTGGCTACCGTCAGGGAAGGCAAGGACGTGTAGTTGTATGTTGATAAGAACTTAACTTGGAGACCTCAGCTTTGAAAAATGTGTTTTGCAAGATGAAGGCGTGTCAAAAGCATAACATTGCATTTGAAAACGTTAAAGGACTTGATGATTTTTTTTCTCTTCCCATGTATTTCACAATAAAAAGTAGACGTTAAGATTATACAGGTAGAAAATATGCATGATCAGATTGCCTTAACACATTAACATTAACAGAGTATTGTAGGTTTATCTTTTTTGTCAGTTCCTTCTGTCTGTCTCTCTTTTCTTTGTCTTATTTGTCTTAGGATGGTAGAAGATGTGATGTCTGTATGTTCTCTGTTGTAAGTAATTCTAAGCTAACAATTCAAGTTTCCTCTTTGATTTACGGGCTTTTTAATTTTACTCATTTATTTTGCAGCATGTTCAGTTATTATTCAGCATGAAGCTTTTATGTTAACTAATTCACTTCACTGGCACATATGAAAGCTATTTTAAGTAAATGCCTTGCTGTGAATGAGTTTGAGGAATCTATTGCCTTGTTATCTGTTTGCCTATCAAAGATCCTCCTTTAAAAATTATATAGATTCTGTATCCTTGAGCAAAAATACAAATGTTTTATTTCTAACATTGTACAACAACATTGTACAATCAATTTTTCATAAATACTCTATAAAGTGTTTCTACTTCTTAAAGAGATAAGTTACCCAAATTACTTTTAGCACCATAGCTAGATAATTAGTAGCATGGAACACACCAATATTCAGCTGTCCAATTTATTTTCCCCTCTAGGTGTGGTATTGATTTACCCTCTACCCACCATTGTAATTTCTAGTGTTGATCTTGCCATTCATTGACTAGGGGTGAGCTGGTGGGCAGTCATTTTTGCTACTGCATCTCGGTTCAAACATTCAGTCTTCACTGGGGAGTTTGGTATGATATTTTTCTCCCTCTAATAGTTAGCAGCAAAAATGTGTTTGAATAACTCTGGCAATATGCATCAAGAGAACAGGTTTATTTCCTTGTTAGAAAATATTTTTAACCAATTGTGAATAAACATAAAGGCAACATTCATAATTATACACTAAGACATAATGTTTATTCTTCATTCCTTTTGCCTGATTGAAACCTATGGGATTTTGAAGGGCACAGTGTCGTTGCTCCCAGTCGGCACTGTGAGCTGTCAGCGGCACTGGACGCAGAATTGCCATATTTGCTGTCGTATTTGTTTTAAAGAGGGAAGGGGTCAGTTGTGCACATTCGCAAGGATAGAGCTTTGTTCTGGCATCTTGGGAACAACATCTGCCTCAGCTGTTTTGTGTAGTTAATCCAAAGCATACCAGTTTTTTTCTTAATGATTTATGGGGTCATCGAAGCTTAATGCCCAATTTATCAGTTTTAATTCTCATTTAAAGATGTGGTTTAGACGTAATTTTCAGTTGGGAAACTGAAGCAGACAGAAGCTAAATAATTTGCTTAAGGCTACTGAGGATGACTGTGGTGGATCAGGGATTTGAATTGCAATCAAGCAGCAACTCCATTCTGTAAATGTGTCAGTAGTTGGCATGAAAAATATGGCAATCCTGCTTTTCTCAGCTTTTGGGGAATTGAGGCTGTCCCAAGTGCATGATGAGAATATGTACCTATGGCATGTTTCTCTGTGGTGCTGTGCCTAATGGATGGGATTTTCAAGCAGAAGGGCTTACAGAGGTCGCGTTGTCTGTGGTTGTCTCTTGCTAAGTGTGAAACGACCCGATTTTTGCTGGTATTACCATATTAACTGTTTTAACTTTATTTTCAGTGATACATTTAGGGTGAAAAAATCACCAAAAAGATCCCCACTATCTGATCCTCCTTCTCAGGTAAAGTACTGCCTTATTTTGATGCATGCAATTTGTGTTCTTGTAGGGGCAAAAAAGGGAAATTTGATTCATTTAATTCTAGAAATGTACACTTAATAATAGGAGAGGTTTTTGTAAAGAATTTAAGCATATTGGTGTCCAAGTATAGCACACTGGGCTATAATCATAAGATATGAAAATATTGGTCTCTAGAACTGTGTATACAATGCATATCCAATCTAGTATTTCCTCTGGGAATTCCAGTTAAGACTATTAGTGCATGTACTTTGGAAAGTGGTATGTTACAGTAGAGCGACAATATGAATAAATATCTTCAATCCGTTGTCTGAAAAACTAGCTGCAACTATTCACCCTGGAATTTTTAGATTAGAAAGTTAGAAACTAAATGCATCAAACTGGTGGGCTGGAAGGGAAATAGAAATAAAACAAGTGGGCTGATCTACCAGGAACATGTGCTTGGATGGTTTTATTCCTTGTTGCAAACTGCTGGCAGGTGGTTTTCTTGGAAGACAAGTTAACAAAAGCTGTTCTGCCTACAAAGGCCTGCGTGCTTTGATGTGGCACAGCTCCTTCCATGCTGCTGCTCGTCTTCCTGTCATCCACCCGACTCTTCTCTTTATGCTGCTTCACAGCCTGGAAGTGAAGAAAGGGTTCGTGACCTCGCAGACCTACGGAGGCTCGCTCCATGAGGGGAGCCTAGAAAGTCAGTTTTGGTAGTCAAAGACTGTGGGTGATGTGTGCCACTTGTGTCAAGTACCTAACAGATGTGAATGGTTCTGGATTTTCTTTCTTCATTGTTAGCAAGGCAGCTTTGCAATGCGAGTGTTTGTCATCAAAGAGTTTAGTTACACTGGGAAAACTTGCTGCTAATTGAGTACTAAATGAAGTTCTTGAATATTTTTCATTAAGTATTTTATACAAAGCTGCAGTAAAGAGTATGGAATTAAAAAGATGACTGTGATTGTGCAGAGGAATTTAGGAAGTTGACTATTCAACATGGTAATGAAAGATAATAGAATTAGTTAGTGCTTGTTTTCTGCAGGATCCCACTCCACTGCCTACTCCAGAAACACCTCCCGTCATATCCACGGTGGTCCATGCGACAGATGAGGAGAAACTGGCGTCTTCAGTGACCAGTCAGAAATGGACCTGCATGACTGTGGACCTGAACACGGATAAACAGGACTACCCACAGCCGTCTGATCTGTCTACATTTGTTAATGAGACTAAATTCAGCTCTCCTACAGAGGGTATGCCTTATAAAGAACTGCCTGCATCCAGATAATGTTATTGAAAGAAAGCGTTTGGTTCGATCAAGGATATTGGCATATACTTTGCTGAATGCAAACTGTATTATTTGGGAACCATAAAAAATTATGCTCTCGGAACCAGTCTGGGGAACTTGGCAATTATGGGGAGCTGAATGTATGCCCCCCATAGTCCCACTTTGAGTTTTCAAGAAAAAGTAGAGAGGAAGCTTAAAGGAAAATAAAAGGGGCTTTCAGAGAAAGGCTTTTGCTTCCTTTGTATGGTTAATTGTAGACGTGCTTTGTGCATGCTACCTGTTCTCTCTGTGCCTTCACGGGTGGCTGGCGTCTAATACTGCTCTTGGATCCAGAGTCACTGAACTACTAATTTTGCCCAAGCCTGTTCCTCTAACCTGAATGGGAGAGGGGCCCAGGTTAAAATTCTGCTCAAAGTCTATATATTGCATTAAGACCCTTGACGTGCCATCTCTCCTCCAGGTTCCTAGGATCCAGGTATCTTTATGCATAAAAATATCCAGGATATTCCCTACATGAGATAGTTACCATTCACATGCCAGATAAAATTTCCTTCTAGATAAGCTTATTAAGATTTTTCCTGTTCTACCTTCTTAGAAGCAGTTGTGAGCTAAAGCTGGAGGTTTCTGTTAAGAGAACTGTCATTGCAGGTCTGCAAAATGTGGGAGATGATAGAATTCAGAAAATTTGTGTGTGGCCTTCCTTGGGGTTACCGGAGGGAATACTGCTTTGCAACATCTGCTCCAAGGGCAGATTTTCAGCTTTGTGGGTGGGAAGAATGTATAAGTTAAACTTGGCTTAAACAGCTTCATATGGATCAGAATTTATTTTTTTTTCCCTAACCTTTCAACCCATGTCTCAGTCTACCATTAAAGCTACTTTATGCCATTTTAGACTGGGTCTGAGGGGTTTTTGCCTAATTAAGAACTGCTAAGGTGAAATTTTAGGTGAAATGTGTTTGACATTAAAAGGCATGAATAATCACAGTGGTTTTAATGGGACTGCACATGCTCATACACACGTGCTTACATGTTTGCGTGGCCTGGGCTTTTTGGAAATCTGTTGGGTCTTCTGTTCAGGTAACTATTTCAGTCTAGGTAAATCCATTTGGCCTTATTGTCAAATTACAGATTTTAGACATTGGCTTCACTTAATTTATATTAAAAAAATATTTTAAAGAAGTATTTTTTAGAAAATAAATCCTCCAAATCTGGGAAAATGAAATTATATGGAAGGAAATGGAACAAAAGAATAGTGACAAATACTCTAAGGCAATCATTTTAGCTATCAAAGTGGGTAGAAGAAAGTGAGCATAGCTCCTAATTAAATGCTAATTGTCTTGTCTCATGTGTGCTGCGTGGCATAGCCAGAGTTTCAGATTACACACTGATTATAATCAACAATGCTTCCGCTTTTCAGATCTCTTAAAAATAATAATTTTTTTCCCTTGACAGTCTTGCTCCTGCGGCATTGAGAAATTTTTGAGTAATTCCAGGGCTGTTTCTCAGTGCGAGTGTTCTTACCCCTCCGAGATACTACTATGAGTGTTATCCTGTAACCTAACACTGCTTTTGTACAGATACAGCCCAACTACTGAGTCAGCCAATACATCCAGCTCTCATCTGTTGCATGCGCTGCTTAAACTGCTGCCATTTTCGTGTTGCACAGACCAGAAATAAGCAATAATTATTAGCAGAAAATTCTGATGTAATCTGGCAGCTATTTGTGGGAGGAGTTGGAGGACGTCACTTAGTAAGTCTGTTGTGCATATTTATAAAAGATAATTATCTTATTTCATGGGATATCCTGGGCATTTGTAACTTTGAAAATATAGAGATAACTGGAGCCTAAGATTTTGGAGGGGAGATGATGTCTTTCTTAGAGAAGACACCTAGTAGAGGAGATAGTGTTCAATTATGCTGGAAACTTCTGAGAGCAGTGAGACGAAACGAATTGTGTTTAGCGTGGCACGTTATTCCTTTCGTTTCTAGTTGAAGTATTTCCCTCTGTGTTCTACTTTTTTTAAATTGGTGAAGTTAAATATGTGTTGTCCTAAAAGTCAGTTTGCAAAGCTGCTACCATCCCTGCGAGGCAGATGGAAGGTCACTGCCGGCTGTGCCAGCAGAGGACAGTGCCGGCACGGCTGCTGCCCCTCAGCGTGCTCGTAGGCTCGCCCTCTGATCGCTCTCCGGGGTCGTAAAGCTGCCCCGTAGACATTTATGATGCACCTCACTGGGCTATGTACAGATGAATGAAATACAGAAAGGCCGTTAGTAAACTCTGGATGCTGCCATCTGCTATTTCATGCTTTTCCCGCAATGCTGCATCCAGGAGGTGGTTTGAGTCTCATAGTTTCAGTTTTGTTTCTGCTTTCACTAGGAAGAAGCTTGTGTCTGATACCAGGAGTTTGTCCATCTTGCCTGGCTCCCTATTACCATTAAAACATGTGGTGCTAGGAATTTAAATGTGAGGAGCCTGCTATCGTAGCATTCTCTTCCCTTAGACGTTTTACTGTAAATATCTCCCACATGTCAGGTACTGAGAGCTTGGGGCTGTTCCTCTTCAGTGGTTGTTTGACAAAATACATAGGCTTGTGCAATTACAGTGTACATACTCTATGGTGCTTTTTATTATAAAAAATTTTGAGCATTGTGAACTCACATTGCACCCTTTGAAAATTTTTTTTTTAACAAAACAGGTAAGAGAATATCTTCAACGTTGGTTTGTTTTTAAAGAACAGACATTTTAATGAAGGCTACCATCTTCCTGATACAAGCCCTGCTTTTCAAAAGCTGCCCAAATCTAGAAGCATTTCAGCACATACTTTTATCATAATGTAAATGCTAGTGTGCCATTCATCGGTACTTATCTATAATGGAAATGAAATGATACAAGTGGTTTATTGAATTAACTGATGGAAACAGAGTAAAATACAGCATTAGGACAAATTAATGATGTTCTTAATTTTTAAATTAAGGTGTCATTGAATGAAGTCTTCGCTTTTATTTGGATTCAGGAAGGCATGCTCTCTCTTCCATTTCGCTGTGTTTTATCTGTCTGCCTCTGTATCAGCTCACTGCTGGGTGACCATGGATTGGAAAGACATACTGGTTATTCCCTCCAGTGTAATTAGGAGATTAGAAGTAGGGAAGCAATAAAGATTTGCATTTTCATGAGGATTTAGATTTAGGGGTCTTCATAAATCTTCCCGCCTCAGGCTTTTCCTCTGTAACTAAAATGTGAAAACAGCCCAATAAGCTGAGCTGTTGTCACCCCTTTTTCAATGAGCATACAGGTATTTTATGTATCTTTTTGTCTTAAGTGATACCACAGTAGTCCTTCTTAATTAAGAACTGTGTGATAAACATTAAGAAATAGAAATTACTTCATTTCTCAACAGCTTTAAAAATCTTTTTGCATACATTAAAGGAAACTGGTATCAGCATTACCAATAATTGAAAAATGTGTTTTCTGTGATAAGATAATGCGATAGGAAAGTTATCTGTGCTCTGAAAGCACTTTGAAACTTTGTTAATATTCTGGCCCCTTGGGGAGAATCTTCAGCAAATTGATAAAGCTGAAATTTTTGAAGCAAATTAATTTGCCTGGAATGTGTCATAGGTTCATTGGTGAAAATCAGTGAAAATCAGTGCACTTTCTTGCTTTGTCTCTGTATATTCTACTGATACCTCACAGAAAAGTATTGAGCAGAATGGGGTGGCCCTTGTAAATGAGGTCTCATTTGCATATGCAAAAATCATTTCATGGCATGCATTTAATGGCTCTTTTTTGTTGTTTCTGTTGCAGAATTGGAATATGGCAACTCATACGAAATAGAATATATGGAGAAAATAGGCTCCTCTGTGCCCGTAAGTTCTCACTTCCATTTCCATTCATTTGCACTCCCTCGTCATAATATCCTATCCTGATAATGCCATCAGCCTCACTACCCCTTAAATTAATTATAACGTACCTGCAGCAGATTTGCAAAACCATTTCCTTTAAATTGGCATAACTGGGGTAAATTGCATGTGCTTTGTTTTCCTGTATTCTGTAGAGCTTGTTCCATTTTATTATTTTATTTTAGAGCTAGCATTATAGTAATTCTTTCTGGAGATTAAAAGCAAATCAGTATTTCCAGCAGCATAGAGAACAAAGCTGTCTACATCAATTATTGAACTATTTTAAGAAACTGAGAGTAACATTTTTAAGAAGATGGAGGGAATCAGGAGAGAACAAAATGAATGTGAGAAATGGAATCCAGTACTATACATTATCAGTTGTTTTGCCTTACTTCTGTTTAATTCATGGATTTGATAGCTTGACTAGATCCAATGGCGGTATATCCACAGGGGAAGTTAGAAAAATCAAGCGTGTATGTCAGGTGCTTAAACTCACGAGAATAACGTTGAATTGAACTTATGAGAATAACAATGAATATTTTAGTAACTCTTTCAGTCAAGGGACGCCTCCTGCCTGACAGGACCAGAAATCTGATGAACCCTGAATTGGGAGAAGAAGAGCCATTACAAAGAGTGAATGGTTTAGATTTTGTTCTTTAATGGTTTCTTACTTAAAGGGATCATCTCAGTATCAGCATAGACTATATTACAGTCCTATATTATTAGTTGTCTGTCAAGTCATTTGCTCACTTTGGTCACCTCAATTAGCTTTAATGGAGAATGGTTGAGTTGCTTAACGAGTCTTTCTTTTCCTGTTGCCAGCAGGATGATAGCACCCTGAAGAAACAATCTTTATACCTAATGTTTGATGCACAGCATGAGAGCCCAGTCAAATCACCTCCCATCAGACTGTCTGATTCCACAACACCATGCTCAGGGTATGTCACCACAAGCAAATTCAGAAATGGAAAAGGATATCGGGGAAATGGGTTACCATCATAGCACGTACACAGGCAGTTCTTGCGCTCTCTGCCTCTGTGTTGCCAAGTTGTTTAAGAATAGATTCCCATCTGTGTACGCATGTGATAGAGAATAGAGGGCAAAGATACAGAAGTTTTATAATGGGAAAGAAGAAGGACATGTATTTCTCCTTCATATTCTTACTGAATGGAGTCACAGCGGCAACTGTTTGCTAGACTGTGGCTTCCTACTTAGGTTTTTTTTTCTCAAATGCTGAGGTAATTTTCATGTCAATGTAGAAATCTCCTAATTGCAATTTTTCCCTTGGCCTTTCCTAGATGTATTTGCTGAACAGGGAATCTTCTTCATAATAACAGGATGTGGGAGTTGTATTTACTTCCAAAAATTTTGCTTATTAAGGACATCTGTTCTTGTTGGTAAAAGTTGTTTGTTGAGAGAGGTGTGGGTCACAATGAGAAAGGGATAAAAAGGCAAGCGAGAAATATTTAAGGAATGTGCATAACATTTCTGATAGAACTGGCTTTATTTAGATGACTGGTGCGTTGCTTTGAAAGGATATTGCAAAGTGTTATGAGATATAATGAAGCAAAGTTGAGTTGAAACAATGTGTTTGTGTGTGTGTATATATATACATATATAATATATATAAAACCATGAAAGTAATGAAGAGGACTTCCTTAGCTGTTACCAGAAGCAGAATTGTAAGGGCCGTGTGCCCCACCCTGAACACATGTACACAATCTTCTTCCAGGTCAAGTTTTGAAGACCCTGAAGCCCAACAACCCTCTGGAATGAAAATACAACATCCAGCTTCCCGAGTCCTAGCTGCCAGCCAAGAGGCACACTTACAGTCACCTGACAAGTCAAAGCAGAAAGACCTAGAGCCCATGACCCTAGGAACAACTCCAGAGGCTATTGAAATAGTAAGTAATTGATGATAACAGTTTGGTAATCATTTTCCTGCAGAAATTTCTCATGTCATGGGCAGCAAAGGTGGATTTCAAAAGTAGAGTGAAACTCAACCTGATACTTAGAGGTCTTGGTAGCAGTATGTGATAGGATCCAAATGAGGAAGGTAGGTTAATGGAACTGATGGAATTCGGAAAAATTTTCTGAATTCTTACTGTAACTTAACATGTTCTTGTGAGGACTTATTTAAAGTTGATACTTTGAAGCACTTTTTTTCTCACACAGGCCTTTTTACACTGCTTTAATGCAATATTTGAAGAAATAGTTTATATATAAAATAAGTGGTTTTATATAAAAATAGAGACGTAATTTGTTCTGTTGCATGTACTGTGAAAATTCAAAATTTTGTTGGTAAAGAACAAGTGCCCTTTCACATTTTTGTATAAATTGTTAACTGTCTTGTTGTCATCTGATACTGATAATGTAAAATTCACTTTTTGAATCATTAGAACTCATTCCAGCTTCCACTTAAATCACTTTTTTCAGTGGCTTCTCTGGGTTGGATTTGAATTAGTGGTGAGCACTTCCTTCCTTCCAACCTGCACTGAATACAGACTTTAGAGCATTGGTTCTCAAATTCATGAAGGTTCCCTCAAGGCCTCCACTTTTCCAGGCAAACTTGCTTCACAAATGCCTACAGCACTAGGCGTGCTAAACTGTATGACAGTATATTTCCTGAGCAGTCAAAATAAGCAGCAGCTCACTTTAATATGTTGCTTAATTTATATTAACAATACTGTTGATACCATCTCGCAAAACATTTTTTATGAGCTTGAATACTTTTCTCACTGCAGGGAGGTTTTGTTTTTGTCATTCTAATTCTGTCCACCCTCATATTGTATATTAATAGTGATCATGTTCTAATTGTGAACATAACTTTGTTTATCCCCAGTAAGCATCAAAAGACTTTGTAAAGACTGCAGAAAGAGTCTTGCTGAGATTCCCCTCAGTTTTGGTGGTCTTCAAAGCTTTTGGACTGCCTTAGAGATGCCCGAACTGAACATAAGCTCTTGTATGGTAACTGTTCAAAAACTATTGTGGAAGTATTGAGAGTCCATGGTTTGAGAGCCATTGCTTTAGAGATCCTACTATTATTTACTTCCCATTAGTCTTGGAAAATTCACTCAGCTTTTAAATAAGGAAGAATTGTTCTTGATGTTTGTCTGTTACATCTATTAATCATGTATTCAAAAGTAATCTTCAGTGGGGCATGAAATTACTAGGAATCAAAGACAATGTAATGGCTTTAAACTGAAAGAGGGTAGATTTAGACTAGATATAAGGAAGAAATTCTTCACTATGAGGGTGGTAAGGCACTGGAACAGGTTGCCCAGCAAAGTTGTGGGTGCCCCAGCTCTGGAAGTGTTCATGGCCAGGTTGGATGGGGGGCTTCGAGCAACCTGGTCTAGTGGAAGGTGCCCCCTGCCCATGGCAGAGGGGTTGCAACTATGATGATATTCAAGGTCCCTTCCAACCCAAACCATGCTGTGATTCTATGATTTGCAGACAGATATGTTGCTTTTGGCCTGAACCACTTGAGCAAAATCTCTGTTGCTTATTCTATATCCTCCTTACCCTTCAGACATCTCCTGAAGACTCCTTTGTCTCTGCTG